CCTTCCTCTTCTCTTCTGGAGGCAGAAAGTGAAGGAAAATCAGGAAACATTTGGATCCCAAAAGGGTTAGCCTTGGTCAGAATGAGATGGTTGTCAGGAGAGAAAAACTGTATCCATTAGACCCCGTATTGCCTACTCTTGATAAATAATCCTAAAATCCTAGAGCTAGAAGAGACCACCAAGGGCCATCCAATCCAACCCCCTGCCATCCAAGATAGCACAATTAAAGCACTTCCGATAGACAGCCTCTGCGGAGAAGCCTCCAGAGAAGGGGACTCCACCACATTCTGAGGCAGCCTATGTCACTCTGCAACACCCTTTTTCTCTTGGGAAGTTCATCCTAATCCTTTCAGTCAAATCTTTTTCCCTGCCATTTGAAACAATTTCTTCCTTGTACCCTGGTCTCTAGAGCAGCAGAAAGTGAGTTTCCCCCCCTTCTCCTCAATGGGACACCCTTTTAAATTTTGAAACATGGTTCTCATGTTCCCTCTCAACCTTCTCTTCTCTCATTTAACGTCCCCCAGGAAGAAAGGAGGAAAGAACCAGCTAAACATCCCCCAGGAGGAAAGGAGGAAGAAAAAAGAGAAGGAAGGAAGGAATGGTCAAAAGGAATGGAGGGAGGGAAGGGAGAAGGAAGGAAAGACAAAAGGGAAGGAAGGAAGGAAGGAAGGAAGGAAGGAAGGAAGGAGGAAGGAAGGAAGGAAGGAAGGAAGGAGAAAGAGAGGGGGGAAGGAGGGAGGAAAGAGGGAAGGGAGGAAGGGAAAGAAGGAGGGAGGGAGAAAGGGAGGGAAGGAGGAAGGAAAGCAAGAAGGAAGGCAGGATAAGATGGTGTGAGAGAGGAGGGCCTGAGAAAAGAGCCCAAGGGGTCGCATCTAGCCCCTGTGCCTGAGTTTACCCTTTCCTGACTAAGAGGCTGTTTTAGACATTTATGTATATTTGTTGGACAGCATTTACAGTGGATTCTCTTCAGCTGTACTTCATTAAAAGGAAAATCAGCCTGTTTAGCAAGCCTGATTTGTTATAAGTAAACATTTATTTTTATACCTGTTTTATTTAATTATATGCCTGGGAGCACGTACACATTTTTTGGCCCAAAAGAAGTCCTGAGTGGAAATGTTTAAGAAGCCCTGGTCTACAATAGGCGCAGCTGCAGCAATAATAACAATTAATAATAATAATAATAATAATAATAATAATAATAATAATAATAATATCTATTTTAATTGAGCTATAATTTTGCTTCAGGCTGCTTTGGATCCCCCCCCCCCTCCTCATTTAGTCCCACACTTGCTCATAATGCTCTGCATTGACATTGTATTAATTACCACAGATTTCCCCAGTAGAACATGTATTCTTAAAGCACCAGAACAGAGGAGGGTATAGGGTTTTTTCTGGTGTAGACAACTCCATAGTGGGGTAATGGTTGAGCATGCTTCTGATACCTCTCTTGCTCAGAGAATTTGTTGAGTACCTGTCGCCACTGCTGTGAGATGCAGAAATAAATAAATCTCAAAGCACCATGCACACCAAATAAGCCAATTTCTATACTCAGCAATGTTGTAAAGGAGATGGATTAATTTTATTACCAAACTGTGGGAACATTTATTGCTAAGTGGGCTGCACTACAGGAAATCCTACATCTATATTATGCACAGCTTTTACTCCACTTTTAACTACCTTGTCTTTCCTTCTGAAAATAATGGAAATGAAAGGCTGAGGATAAGAAATTTTTAGCTCCCATTAATTGCAACTCCTAAAGCTCTCACTGCAAAAAGTGCATGACTTAATAGTAATGGAGAATATTGGACCTACATCTTTACTGCCATGCTGTTTTACTATTAAAAGTGCATAAACATATTTACAGTACAGTAGAAATATATTTAGTCCTATATTTGAGTCTTGGGTAGCATCTGAACTATGGCATGAATGCTGTTTGACACCACTCTAATTGCCATGGCTGAATGTTATGGAATCCTGGGAGTTGTAGTTTGTTGAGGCACCAGCACTCTTTGGCAGAGAAGGCTAAAGGGTGTGCAAAACTGCAGCTCCCATGATTCCATGACATTGAGCCATGGCAGTTAAAGTGGTTTCAAACGGCTTTAATTCTGCAATGTAAATGCACCCCTCAATAAGGCTACTGAAAAAAAAATGCTGTAAGTCCATCAATATTGTGGAGCTAATGGGTAGTTTTAGTTAGGAATATATTTGGGATATTATCTCTATATCTAGGTTTTGCAAGTTATATTCAAATACAAGAAAATCAAATAGAGAGATAGAGAGATAGAGAGATAGATAGATAGATGAGAGAAGGGGAGAGAGAGATCTGTTAGGTAAGCCATGTATCTTTCTATACAATGGAATGGCTCTAAAGAGCCACTTGATTTTTTCAAGGCTGCAGAGGGGCTCCCTGAGGGATTTACAGAGGAGTAAAAAGAAAAGTATCTCTACACTCCAATTTACAATCCAAAAAGAAGTGTCACTAAAGGAGAAAGAGAAGGAGAGAGAAAAGGGAAAGAAGAAAACTTGGGTACATATACTTGGTGATGCAAAGTTCTTGGAACAATCAGTTATGATGGAAACAGGCTCCCCACTCTTTGTAAACCAGTAGCATAGTGACTCAACTTTAAGTTTGTGATATAGCTGGAATTTCCTGGTCTTATTGTGGAACCTCTGGATTTTTGAGATTTGTTTGCATATGCAGCCAGATAGTATCATCACCTATTTTGGGACAGATAGTTGTTCCCCATAGGGCATGTTTAAAACATAGACCATCCTAAAATAAATGTCATTGAGCTCAGGCATATGGGAAGAAACTGACTTCCCCAAAGAATATAGAACAAGGGTGTGGTATAAGGAAGTGTATTAAATAACACAAATTCCCCTTTTCTTCCACTTAAAGGCACTGCAGTTCATGTTCTCACAGCCAAGAGTGATGTGGAGGAAATGGAAGCAAAGGTAAGTTATTTTTTTCTGCCTACTGCAGAGTGGGGATGGATTTGAGTTTCTCAAACTTTTTGAACTAGGCATTTTGATTAACATACGTGAGGCCAACCACACCATCAGAATGAGTAAGGCAGCTGCCTTAGACCGCACATTTTAATATTGTTCAGGCAGCAAGATAATTTAGGCAATGCACATCCTTTCCAACTGTCCAAGACAGCCCCAATTCATTCGCTTCTTTTTCAATTATTTTTAAAACATCCCAGTTTTCCTCTCCATTTCCCACTTCCCCCTTTCTCTTCACTTTACTACAATGTAAATACAGTAAGTGTTAGGAGCCATGATGGTGCAATGGGTTAAACCCTTATGCCAGCTGAATCTGCGAGATGGAGTGAGTTCCTGTCTGTGAGCTCCAGCTTCCCATGCGAAGACATGAAAGAAGCCTCCCACAGGATAATAAAACATCCAGGCATCCCCTGGGCAACATCCTTGCAGACGGCCAATTCTCTCATACCAGAACCAACTTGCAGTTTCTCAAGTTACTTCTGACATGAAAAGAAATGCAATATGTAGGGTTTCTCTGCTTAAAACAGGAGTTTTGTGTGTTTTCTCATTAATTATTTTTGTCCTATTGTTGCCTGTTGCCTTTTCTGCCTTGGTACCATGATGATAACCCTCTGATGGGGTTATTGATGGGAAAAGAGATGGGAGGTGCATCTACACTGTAGAATTAATACAGATTGATACCACTTTTATTGCCATGGCTCAATGTTATGGCATCCTGGAAGTTGGAGTTTTGTAAAGATTTCAACCTTCCTTGTTCAGGTATGCTGGTGCCTCACCAAAAAACTACTCCCATGATTCCGTAACATTGAGCCAAGGCAGTTAAAGTGGCATCAAAACACATTAATTCTTTTGGAAAATGGAAATCTCCAGAACCTTTTGGAGATTTTATGAATGTTGGAAAGGCATGACCTTGTTAGAAGTCACAACCTTTTGAAAAATGATGCCATAACCTCTTGGTAAAAGCATGTCCCGTTAGAGTAATAAACCTTTGGGAAAATGGCATTCACCAGCATTCATGCAAGGCAACTCGGTTTCTCAGCTGTTAAACTGATGTACCTAGGTATGTCTTTGAACTGTTAGGAACAAAGATATGTCAATGCACAATGCACACCAGAGTTTCAGAAGTGTTCCTTTAGTTGTCCAAAGACATCTACTCTCTCTTATATATTTGCCTTTAAATCATGTTCTCAAGAGACAAAAATAAACAGACTTCTTTAAAAATAACATAGTTGGTTTACTCATGTATTCAACATATAGGTACTTTGATTACCAGTCTGGTTACAAATAGATTTGAAGTAGTTTATCTATGTGGATAACACATCTTTCTTAGAATCAATAGTCCAAAGCATCTCTCTGTTCTGAGAGTCTAATAAAGTCCTGTCTAGTCCAATGGAATCTCTAACCATACTGTTCCTGCTAAACCAAATTGTTTCTAAAAATGGAATCTAAGTCCTGAACAAGCCCATTCTGATCACATGGTCTGCAGCCCCTCCCACAATAAAGAGTTAAGGTAAAATTGCAAACCAATTCACACATATACTATACAGTAAACAATTATATACATAACAAACAACTAGTGGAGGCTTGAGAAAGTTGCTATTTCCAACAAATTCTATAGTGTAGATGCACGAAAAAGAAAAAGAAGAGAAGGAGGCAAAAGAGGATGTGTTACTGCTGACCTGGCCATCAAAGTGAGGCAGAGGTGTAATTGTGCCAAGGCGGAAAGGGGGATATGGGCAAAACTGTTGGCTGGAAAGGAGTGTGTAGCATGGTGATTATATTTGGGAAATACATTGTACACAGCCATTTTGATGTGTTTATTTTCCAAAACAACATGGTATGGTTGGAGGATGTGTTCTCTTGGGGAATTCTTTCTAGGAAGAGAGGCTACAGCTGCTCTTTCTACATTCACAGTTCATTCATACCCATTCTTGTTGTTACTTCTCTGCTTCAGGCTTCTTCCACTTCTTCCAAAAATGTTTGTTTTTTCTTTCAGTCTCAAAGGAGCTTTCATGACAACTGCAAGCCACACATTTCCTCTGGCCCCGTCTCAGTGTCAGGTAATTGCATTTGAAATAGGTCTTTAGAGGAAAATACAAATGTAAAGCATACACTCACTGGGTTCACTACAAAATTTTGGAAACAGGTTTATTTATAGTCATTAACAATTCATTAGAAAAAATACAATAATTGTTTCTATAACATAGATTCATTATACTACATAAAAATGGGAAATAATTAGTTTTTCCTTTGGAATGTGTGGAAATGGAATGTTGTTTTGCACTGTTTATTTTATCTTGTTTATTTATTTATTTTATTGTGTTGTGATTTTTTGTTGCTTTGTATTTGATTTTATTTTGCTGTATTGTATCTTTGGGCTTGGTCTCATGTTAGCCGCCCTGAGTCCCCTCGAAGAGATAGGGTGGTCTACAAATAAAGCATTATTATTATTATTATTATTATTATTATTATTATTATTATTATTGACACACAGAGACAGTCAAAACAATCATTCACACACACTTGATGAAATGCAAATGGGCAGAAAATGTGGTGGTACAAATTTCACTGTCTTGTGGAAAGAACACTTTAGACTAAATCGGTGTAGACTGTAAATATTATCTGTTACTGTTTCTGCATTAATTCTGTTCTGTAAAAAAACCTGTCATATTCTTTTTGTAAATTGCTACTCCTATTTCATCTCTGCAGTTCACACTCTGAGACCATCAGACATCAAAGTTATTGCTGCTATAGGAAGTTTGGGAAATGTGAGTACAACGAGTGTGTTGAAAATAATTAAAGGTGCCAATCTCTTATGCTAAAAAGAAAATCTTTTGGTAGCTACATAATATAGCTTGGTGTGCTGGGTTATATTTTGGTTTTGAACATGAAAAATAACACAAGAATGACCCCCAAGTTCCAATAAATTCTTTGTCCATCCCTGGCACCTAGGGTTGGTGTATCCGTTAACTTAAGTGGCCTCTAGTGAACCTCAGATCAGAGTCACTTCTTAGGCGGGATCTACACTGCCATATAACACAGTTTCAGAATGCAGATTAACTACATTCAACTGGATTACATGAGTATGCACTGCATATAATCCAGTTGATTGCGGTTAATCTGCATTCTGGAACTGCATTATATGGCAGCATAGATCCGACCTGTGTGGCTTATCTCCTGGTCCTCCAGATTAAGATAAACTGTAAGGCTGGCTTTACACTGCCATATAATGCAGTTTCAAAATGCAAATTAACTGCATTGAACTGGATGATATGGCAGTGTAGACTCATATAAAGCAATTAATCGTCATTCTGAATCTGGGTTGTATGGCAGTGTAGATTCAACCACAGCCATTTCAAGATTTCCACACCATCACATAATCTTTTTTTCTTCATTTGCATTTTGAGCTTTACTTACTTAAACCAAACAATGTGATTTCCTTCACCAATATTATTTTTTACCACAATGAGTTGAACAGACTGTCCATAAAACACATTGTAGTGACTTCTAAATCAAAGCAGCATTAAACAAAGCTAGCTATTTTTTATGTTGTTGCACATCTGAAAATTCACCTCCTGGCAGGAAGATAAACCTCTGGGATACATGAAAATGACAGGAACATGAAGGTGCCCTATACTCAACCCATTTGTCCATCTAGCTCTGTGCTTCGCTAGACACACAGCAGTTCTCCTGTGGTTCATCTTTTCCAGTTCTTTTTGGAGTGGGCAGGGATTATCTAAGAGCTATATCTCCCCATATAAACTCCTGGGTTATAAAATCTTCAGGAAAGGTCTTTCTCTGGATCCCAGCACCTTCACCGGCACAACTGGTGGGATTCCTCAGTGGCTGTCAGAAAGGCCAGAAGATTCCCTCTCCCTTCTGTTCTTCCATGCGCATGTTGTGCATCTCTGTGTGTATACAGTTGGCCCTCCACTAATCTAGATGTTACTTTTATGGAGTTTATTACAGTGTTTTCTCGAAGAATTTTTGGGTACTCTAGTGTGCTTTTGTGGTAAACTTCTGCTGCAGTTTGGCCATAGAGGACCTAGAGAGAACACCCTATCAAGGAATCTCAAGGTCTTCTAGTGCAATTCTATGGTCAACTTGCCATTTTCACTTTTGTGAGGGACCTGTGCCACTAACCCCAGCAAATGTGGAGGGCTATATGTGTGTGTATATCACTATCTCTATCTACCTATCTTACTTACTTAGGTGATCCCTCATTGTCCGAGTAGGGTAATCCTCCAGGGTGGGCCCCTAAGTGACTATGGAGCCCTATTCTTGATCTGCATCATCTCCCGCAGTGAAGGCATTGGTTTGCAGGTGGAAGGTGGTCCTGGTCGGGTTGGCTTGATGCGCCTTTCTGTTGGCATGTTTCTCTCTTTCGCCCTCCATTCATGCCTCTTCAAATTCTGCAGCACTGCTGGTCACAGCTGACCTCCAACTGGAGCACTCACAGGCCAGGGCTTACCAGTTCTCAGTGTCTATGCCACAGTTTTTAAGGTTGGCTTTGAGTCCATCTTTAAATCTCTTTTCCTGCCCTCCAAAATTCTGTTTTCCATTCTTGAGTTCAGAGTACCTATCCATCTAAAATTCATACGGGCTTCTAGATGTTAAGATTTTACAGAAAGGGTTGTATTGTTTTTATTGAATTGCTTTTAATTGCTTTTTTTCCCTTTGCAAGCTTATGTTTCAAATTGTTTTATAATGTAACTAATTGAATTATGCCCCAATCTACACTGCCATATAATGCAGTTCAAACGGTACTAAAAGTGCTAAAATGCTATTCAACGCAGTTAAGCTGCATTGTATGAATCTACACCAGGCATGGGCAAATGACCAGCTGCTAGGAATTGTGGGAGTTGAAGTCCAAAACACCAGGAGGGCCACAGTTTGCCCATGACAGGTCTACACTGACCATATAATGCAGTTTGAACTGTATTAAATTATCAGTGTAGATTGGGTCTATATTTCCATGTTGATTCTATGTTTATAGTTTTATACTTGATAGAGTTCCAGTTATGAAAGACAGGAATGTAAATAAAGTTACCACAACACCGCCAACAACAACAAGCTTTTTGCATATGAATCAGGTGTCCTATCACTGAGCTACAGTCCTTTCCCATCAGTATTTGATAACCTGTTATTCAGCTAAGAAAAGCAGCTTGATGAATATTACACTATCACACAAACTGCCAGATTGATTTTTTTCCCACCTTCTGATTTTAAAATGTGATTTTAGTCTCCTCCTGTTAAGTTCACTGGTAGAAAATTGTTCAGCGTCCAATTACCAGAGCTACCAGATCACCCTGTCTAGTTTGACAGATGAATTATCCCAGGAAGACTCACATTATATTCTCTTCTTGGGAGGGATGGTTCTAACAGGTGTACTTCTCCTCCCATCCATCTCTAATTCTTAAAAGGGCACAATCATTTGTTATGACACTTAAATAGCACAGACTATCCAGATGTCACCCATTCCCATATTAAATCTCCTCCTTTTTCACCTTTGCACTCATCAGGTGTCATTAAATCTAAAATAGACTGAAATAAAACCCCAAAGAAGTGCTAATCTGTCTTTCTCCCTGCGTGTTTTTGTCACTTTCTTGCATGAAGAATAATGGTCTGAAAGGAGGGATAGTGCCTCTTATCCAGGGAGGCTCTCATCTGATTATCTTCCTCATCTGACATCTTTTAAATGCCTGAATAGAGCTTTTATAGTGTCCCACAGAAATTATTTTAAGGATATTATCCTACTTTTCAGCCAACGAAGAGGCTCACTAAGTGGCATACGAATGCAACAGACCCTTGATATCTTTTGAGATTTGGTTTCAGAACCATCCTCCACAGATACCCAAATCCATGGATGCTCAAGGTCCATTTTGTACAAAATAGTGTCTCTTATATAAAATGCCAAAATCAGGGCTTGCTTTTGGGGATGTGGGGGACAGAGCTGGAGATGGTTGAATCCACAGATACAGAATCCAAGGATACACGAGATAGGATTGTTGTTGTTGTTGTTGTTGTTGTTGTTGTTGTTGTTGTTGTGTGCTTTCAAGTCATTTCAGACTTAGGTTGACTCTGAGTGAGGGCTGGGTAAATGACCTTGGAGGGCTGTACCTGGCCCTCGGGCCTTAGTTTGAGGACCTCTGGTGAAAGGTTATGAGATAATAATGGCATTTTGTCCCATCTGACTTAAAAGTACATCTAAAGATAGATCTATACTGCCACATAATCCAGTATCTGATCCCAGATTATTTCCTTTGAACTGGATTATATGAGTCTACACTGCCATATAATCTAGTTTAAAGCAGATAATCCAGGATCAGAAATCTACATGGCAATGTAGATGTCAACCTAAGACTGCTTTGTTAGTAGAATCCTTAAGTAAATCACTAAAAATAACTTCCTTACATCCAATGGAATGCAAGTCCATGCAGTAGATTTAGGTTTAAACTAGTAAATTCATATTCACATAACTGTTGACTTTCATTGTAGCTTTCCTTGTATATTGTCAGTGCTTTGTAGTTATTCATTGATTAATTTGGTTAATTTGAATTCAAAACAGCAACTCACTGCTCTGTGCTCCTTATTGCTCTCTCAAGGTTGTATGTTAGAATATATTTATGAATTTATGAGAGACAAGAGTCTACTTTTCCAATCTGAAAACTGAGCACAAAATCTTCACCCATCCCTGCCTTACCCCTTAACATTCCTGGTCTTGGTGATCCTTCTTGCCTTGATTAGCTTTGTGGGTCTTCGAGTAATGCCATTTCTTCCCTGACCTCCTTTTCCTAATAACAAACTATCACTTGCAAGCAAGAAAGGGTTACAGGGAAAGATGCAAAGTTATTTTGTGCTGCCTTCCATATTTCAGACATTGACTGAGACTATGCTTGTTTTATTGTTGTTTTTTTAACAGGCTGAAGATTCTAGGACAGAGCAGGCTGACCCCCTCAAAAGGTATTGCTATCTATCATATTCACAAAGTATGTTTATTTCTTCCTGCAAAAATACATCATGCTTGCCATGTCTTTCAATCATTTTGCCTACTAGAATAAAACCTTGACTATGACTAAGGGTAAAAACAGAGTAGCCCAAGAAAGGGTTGGGGGGGGGGGAGTGAAACCATATGTGGACTGCTAGGCACCTTCTAGCAGTGAAGAGTAGGTGAAGAGATGATATAATACTGTATTCATATTTAATTATTTGAGAAGGCATCATACTGGGGTGGGGGGCAAGCTTGTTTTCCACTGCTCTAGAGACTAGGAGCTTCCCGGTGGTGCATCAGGTTAAAGCACTGAGCTGCTGAACTTGCTGATCGAAAGGTCACAGGTTCTAATCTGGGGAGCAGTATGGGCTCTTGTTGTTAGCCCCAGCGTCTGCCAACCTAGCAGTTCAAAAATATGTAAATAGGTACCACTCCGGTGGGAAGGTAATGGCGCTCCACATGATCTTGGAGGTGTCTACGGACAACACTTAGAAATGGAGATGAGCACCAATTCCCAGAGTTTATTTATTTATTTACTATATTTGTATACCACCCTTCTCAGCCCACAGGTGACTCAGGGTTGGACATGACTGGACTCCATGTCAGGGGAAACCCTTTACCTTTACCTTAGAGACCAGGGATGCATATATACTGTAGAATAAATGCAGTTTGACAACACTTGGCTCAATGTCATGGAATCATTTTGTTGATGCACCAGCACTATCTGGCAGAAAAGGCCAAGATAATATCATGGCATTGAGCCTAGCCACCTCATCAAATGGCCAGCGGCAGAAGGGGGAGGCAGTCCGCTCCACTGCGAGGCATTGTTTAGCTACTGCTTAAGTCTATTTATTTACTTACTGTATTTATATACCACCCTTCCCAGCCTGCAGGCGATTCAAGTTGGTTTACAAAGGCAACCATTAAATGCCCAATAACACCATAAAATGCATTTAAAAACAATAAGATCAATAAGAAGTCTACCTAGTTGCAATATTTTGGTTGGATCTCCAACACTTCATTCCCAACCCCAGCCCTACAGTTTGCTTTTGCACAAGCCCTTGTCTTGCCCTATTAGCCTCAAATTTGCACATGCCCACTTTTCTCAACTACTGATTGTTTGATGTTTGGTTTATGTCATATGATGTCTTACATTTTATTGATTTTACTGTTTTAATATATTCTTCTGTTATATGTTTTTATTTGTGTTACCTTGTAACCTTTGTTTATATTGGGCTTGGTCCCCATGTAATCTGCCCAGAGTCCCTTTGGGAAGATGGAGGTGGGATATAAGAATAAGGTTATTATTATGCCTCGCATCGCCTATATTACCTGCCTTGCCAGGAGGATGATGACATGGGGGAAGCATAGAGCAACATGGTAAGCCTCCCGTGTTGCCAAGGCAAAGGCGGCACACTGGTTCTGCCCCTCTGCACCCCTGGAGCTGGCACAGCATCATTTGATGGGAGCTGGCCAGCTCCATTGATGACCAGGACTAGATCAGTGTTTGCTGCCAAATCTAGCCCCGTATGATGATGTCATATGGCAAGCTAATAAGTGAGACTGTGAATAAGTGAAACCATGTATGAGTGGAGACAGTGTATATGTACACTTCATTTCTGATTTTTGTTGTATGTTTTAAGAGAATTGGCTAAATATTGGAGGTGACAAAATGCTGTATCACACAGAGGCTAAATCATGTTAATCTCATCTAGGTTAAGGTCATTGAATCAATGGGATTTGCCTACAACATTAAACAAATGATTGAAAGGATTCATTCTAGCTAGGACTAACCATAAGAATGACCATCATTGCTTATCTCTCTGGGGTGAAGGAAGTATGTAAGATATTCATCAGAGAAGTAAGATATTTATCAGAGAGCTTGGATAGACTCCATATTCATTTCCACATTCACTTGCAGTGTGTGAAGCATTCTGTATGGTAACCCAAATGGTTATTCAGCACAAGCCTAGCACAAGCCTAGCCTGGACTGCATATAATTCTTTTACCAGCATATTCATGATGGGATTCATTACTTCAATTAATTTAGAGAAATTAATGGAGACCAAGACAACTAGTTATGATGGCTATATGTTACATCCAATATCAGGAAAACCGGTTATTAGGGAACAAGAAGAAAGAGCTTTCTTTTGTGCTCACATCCTGCTTGTGGGCTTCCTAAAAAGCAGCTTGTTTGCCATTATGGGAACAGTAGGATGAATTAAATGGACCTTTGTAGTGATCTAGCATGGCTGCTCCTAAATCACACCCCTATTTTAAGTTTCATTCCTTATTTTTGTATCAAGAACAGTCCTGTAGATAGTGAAAATTTTAAAGAAGGAAAAACAAATCTGAACATTATTTGTCAATTTAATGTATCTTTTCCATTTTGACTGAAACTACGCATCATTAAAGCCGGAGGAGATCAAGAAACTGAGGAAGGACACTTAACCCTTTTTGGTCACTGTCTTCTGGTTCTGCATCCCTCTCTTCAGATCTCTTCTCCTAGCCTGAAAGTTTTCATATGAGGATAAAACCACACTCTTTGAGAAATCATACATGGAGACAAAAGGGAATAGTGCTTCTAGTTACCTCCATTTGAAAATGATCTGCTCACCAGAATGGATGCTAGGGCTATTAAATGGATCCCATACACTTTCATGTAATGTTTAGTGTGCTCCCCATTCTCACGCTGAATAATAGAATTAGACAAGGAGAGAAATTTGGATAAGAATTAGACTTTTAAAATTGCTTCTAGTTTGTAATACTTTAGAGAAACTTATGGGCTAGATTAGTGGTTCTCAACCTGTGGGTCCCCAGATGTTTTTGCCTTCAACTCCCAGAAATCCTAACAGCTGGTAAATTTGAGTAATTCAGTGCAATCTCTGGTAAATTGAACATAGGAAAGGAACAATGGACGACGAATTTTGGATCACGTTTGGATGATGAGGCGATCCGGGGGGGGGCTTTTTGTGATAACTGTGTATTGATGTTTGTTTACTGTTAGAAATGGAATTGTGTAGTTTAACTGTTGTGATATATTGATTACTGCTGTTTTTACTGTCTCTGTTGTTTGCTTTCTGGAAACCGCTGTGAGTCGCCCTCGGGCTTGAGATACAGCGGTATACAAGAATAGTAAATAAAATAAATAAATAATAAATAAACTGACTGGGATTTCTGGGAGTTGTAGGCCAAAACACCTGGGGACCCACAGGTTGAGAACCACTGGGCTAGATCTAAGTGTGTGTGTGTTGTGATTTATAGCAGTTATTTTGTTGTGATGCCACATTACAGTTGGTGGCATTCTGAAACTTAGGAATGTTTTCAAAAGTTGTCTCTGAAGTGTAGAGTAGAGAAAGGTGTAGACAAAGAGGAAATAAAACTTGATATACCATACACATATCTTGACTGTTGAGCTCCTTGACTGTTGTAATATACAGTGAAAAATACTAGCTCATGTTTTTCTTTTACAGTACAGAGACAGATTTTATCCAAGCAAGCATGAAAACACTAAAAGGTAAGCATTATGGTTTAAACTCTTGCAAAGGAAGTCTTCACTGCCTCCTTCACACAATGACCAAGCCTCCACAGAACTCATTGATCAAGGAATTTTGGAGGAGCATTTGGCTATGTGTCTATAATCCCTCAGAAATGGTATTTCAGCAATCTAAGGCATAGTGTCATGTAATGGTGTGTACATTAAACTGTGACTCTGGAGACCAGTTTCAATCCCTGCTCAATCATGTAAACTCACTGGTTGACTTTAGGCAAGTCACCTCTCTCTTCCTTCAAGAAAGGCCAAAGCAAACCTGCTCTGAACAAATGCTGCCGAAAAGATCCCTGTGATAGGTTCACTTTAGGGAAATCATAAGTCAGAAATGACTTGAAGGCATACAACAACAGCATCCCACACTCTTTGCAAATTTGATCAGATTTTGTTTCATCAATTAATAAATGTAAGTCTTTTTAAGCAAATTTAATGAACCGAATGTATGTCTTTCAGATCTTGTCAGCGTGTTTAATCCTTCTGTGCAGTATTACTCTTCTCTTGGAAGCAACAAGATTGTGTAAGTTCTGTTTCACTTTGCTCAGCTGAAGGTTTATTATTTTATAGCTGGCCTCATGAATGCATTACTCTAGTGCAGGCATGGGCACATTTAGGTCCTCCAGGTATTTTTGGACTTCAACTCCCAAAATTGTGGGAGCTGAAGTCCAAAACACCTGGAGTGCCAACGTTTGCCCATGCCTACTGTAGTGGAAATTGAGAAATGTGCTCAACCTTTGTGTTTTTGAGATAGCATGTTAAGTTTAAATCTGGTTTACCCAGTCATTTTTTAAACATGAATTTTAAACTTGTGCCCTTTGTTTAATCTCTGTTTTGTGTATTTTCATATATGTATTTGTGGTATTTTACAATGTGTATGTGTTTTAATTATTCTCTAAACTATCTTGAGCCAAGAGGAGAGGAGGGTAAGAAATAAAATGATGATGATTTATTAATCTGTCACCAGAGATGTGAAAAATAGTTTCTGTTAGAGATGTTGATTGATTTACATGGAGAAAAGATGCCTTTGTTCACCATTGCAGTTATGTCAAAAGCTAGTGTTGATCCCATACATTTCATTGGCATTGTGAATTTGAATTTAATTTGGCTCTGATTTTGAGAATTCAGTTTACAAAATTCACTTTGATTTCATTTCTATGATATTACCTCCATGATGTATACTGCATTTATAACTGAATTTCCAGATAACCCTTCAGACAAAGTAGACTATTCATTATAGATTATATAGAAATTCAGGAGGGTATCTATGTGTTTGTATGTATTCTATTATTCTATGTGTCTATATGTGTGTGTGCATGCATGTGTCTGTGTGTATAGTGTTACAGGAATCATCTTAAAACTTCCTAGTTACACATAGATGACAGAGATCATGTAGACCTAATTAGAATTTGGAAAAATGTTTTTTCC